AAACCATCCCATGACAATGGATCATGTAGAGAAGAATGTTAAGAAAATATAGTGAGGATTTTTTACAGTATGGTTTTACCTCAATAATTACAGCAGGAATTGAGAAACCGCAATGTGTTATTTGTTGTGAAGTTCTATCAGCCGAATCTATGAAGCCGAAAAAACTAAAATGCCATTTTGATAGCAAGCATCTGAGCTTTGCCGGCAAGAATACCAACTATTTTAGAAGCAAAGCTGATGGACTCAAGAAAGCCAGACTTGACTTTGGTGGCAAGTACCACAAACAAAACGTAGCAACCATTGAAACTTCATATTTGGTGGCACTCAGAATCGCCAGAGCTATGAAACCTCACACCATTGCTGAGGATTTACTGTTGCCAGCGGCCAAAGACATTGTTCAAGTTATGATCAGAGATGAATTTGTTACGAAATTGAGTGCAATTTCCTTCTCTAACGACACTGTCCGCAGAAGAATAGATGACATGTCTGCTGATATTCCTTTTTAAAAAAATATATTTTATTGATTTTTTTACAGAGAGGAAGGAAGAGGGATAGAGAGCTAGAAACATCGATGAGAGAGAAACATCGACCAGCTGCCTCCTGCACACCCCCCACTGGGGATGTGCCCGCAACCAAGGTACATGCCCTTGACCGGAATCAAACCCAGGACCCTTGAGTCCGCAGGCCGGCGCTCTATCCACTGAGCCAAACCAGTTATGGCTGCTGATATTCTTGATCAAGTAATCCAGGAAATTAAATCTGCTCCACTTCCAATATTTAGTGTCCAGATTGATGAATCTACAGACATTGCAAACTGTTCACAGTTACTGGTTTATGTGAGGTATATTAATGATGGCGACTTTAAAGATGAGTTTCTTTTTTGCAAACCTCTTGAAATGACACTACTGCACGTGATGTATTTGATACAGTTGGTTCATTTCTGAAGGAGCATAAGATCTCTTGGGAAAAGGTTTGTGGTGTTTGCACAGATGGTGCTCCAGCTATGTTAGGATGTCGATCTGGATTTCAATGTTTGGTACTGAATGAGTCACCAAAAGTCATTGGAACTCACTGTATGATTCATCGGCAAATATTAGCAATGAAGACACTGCCACAAGCGTTACAAGAAGTAATGAAAAGCATCATAAGTTATGTCAATTTTGTAAAGGCGAGCACTTTAAACAGTCGACTGTTTTCGCAACTGTGCAACGAGTTGGATGTGCCAAACAATGCTCTGCTATTTCACATTGAAGTGAGATGGTTATCGAGAGGAAAAATTTTAAAACGTGTTTTCTTGAGCTTTGTGATGAACTCAAAACATTTTCTAATCAGAAAGCAAGACCGCAGTTCGAAGCACTTTTCGGTGATAAAAGTGAACTGCAGAAAATAGCTTACTTGGTTGACATCTTTGCCATCTTGAGTGAGTTAAATTTATCACTGCAAGGACCAAATGCAACATGCCTCGATTTGTCTGAAAAGATCCGATCATTCCAAATGAAACTTCAGCTTGGCAAAAAAAATTGGATGAAAATAAAATTTACATGTTGCCTACCTAATCTGCTCTCTTTGAGGAACATGACATTGAACCAGACAAAAGGATTACGATGATAATTTCTGTGAAAGAACACTTGCACATGATTGCAGACGAAATTTCATCGTACTTTCCAAATCTACCTGACACCCCATTTGCACTTGCCAGAAGCCCATTCACAGTCAAAGCTGAAGATGTTCCTGAGACAGCACAAGAGGAATTCATTGAACTTATTAACAATGATGCAGCGAGAACTGATTTCTCTACAATGCCAGTTACAAAATTCTGGATCAAGTGTTTGCAGTCATATCCTGTTCTGTCTGAGACTGTGTTGTGCCTTCTTCCATTTCCAACAACATATCTTTGTGAAACAGGGCTTTTCAGCTTGTTGGTTATCAAGTCTAAGTACAGAAGTAGACTTGTTGTGGAAGATGATCTACATTGTGCTCTTGCAAAGACTGTCCCGAGAATTTCTGATCTGGTGAGAAAGAAGCAATCTCAACCTTCGCACTGACGTTGGCTTTTTATGCATACTGTCGCAAAATGTAGCAATGTAATTTACTGTTGTTATATTAAGACTGTTACCCATGCTACACCATGCTTCAAGACAAAATTTAATTTATTTGTAATTAGAAATAAATATTTCACAATATATAATTACATATTGTTTTTGTGATTAATCACTATGCTTTAATTATGTTCAATTTATAACAATGAAAACACATCCTGCATATCAGATATTTACATTAAGATTCATAACAGTAGCAAAATTACAGTTATGAAGTAGCAATGAAAATAATTTTATGGTTGGGGTCACCACAACATGAGGACCTGTATTAAAGGGTCCCGGCATTAGGAAGGTTGAGAATCACTGCATCCACTTAGCCAAACCTACTAGGGCTGCAAGGTACTTTTAAATAATCTTTAAATACCTAGAATGTAAATAGTTATATCAGGATATGGGGATTAAATGGTTACTGCAATGGAATAAGGCATTCTGAGATTCCTTATAACCTAATAGAAAGTAATGACAAAATAATATGTCATCATCCTGTGAAAGAAAGCTTATCAAGGCAATTCAGATACAGTTCTAATTCTAAATTTTAACAAATATCTCACTGGAGGGGACCCTTATTTTCAAGTCACAAATAACATAATGGACAACATCTTCTCTAATAGTCTAGCACTAATATCTTCAATCAAAATACATCTACTAAGAGAATTTCAAAGACCTATGTATTTTGTGTCCTTGCTTTTTCTTGATCTGGACTAGCCTGGGGTCAGTTGTCACACAAACAATACTCATGTCTGCTGCTAAATTTTCCCCATATACTGAACTCCTTAACTAGATACTGAGAGGAAGGAATAGAAGGGAATGCTCCTAGAGACTCAGATGCAAGAAGATCTGTCTTCTGGCTGTCATCATGCCCAGATAGGATTACGTTGTCGTAAATATATAAGATAAGAAAACCATCTAAATTGTAATGTGATTTGTAAAGTCTGAGAAAATGTGTCTTTCCCTGAAAATAAAGGAAATGCATCTTATTTTATTATTTTGAAGTGTCTGCCCTTAGAAAGAAACATCATCTTTATTATAATCTTCAAGGGATTTTATTGTAAGGAGGGGTGTTGAGAAATCTTTTGCCCAGTGAGATATATAATTTCCAGATCAGAAAAAAATCTAACACAGACAATAATAATACAACTAATATATTTAGCTTTTCCCGATGCAAGAGCAAGACACAGGGAACCCTATAGTAAGAGGAGAAGGAAAAAGAGAGAGCATGAAAGCCAAATTAGTATCATGAAAGCAACGGCATCTTGCTACACAATGGGAAGTCCCAAACCTGCTTATTAAAGTCTCCTTGCTTACAATAGAACACAGGCTATAAAAAGGCCATGGGGAACCATTAATTAAATATTAAAAGTTCAAATAGTTTTAGTCCCAGTAGTTTATATTTAATTTACATTCTCAAGTATAAATTTAGAGATAATTTTCCATCCCTAATCACTTCAACTTTCTGATAAGATATCTTCAAATATAGAGTCCTACAGGGAGCTTAAAAATATCTTTCCTCAAGTGGATCAAATATTGTTTTTTTCATAAGAAGTTGCCTTTGAATATATCTCCACAATAAAGTGATTATCATAATATACCTCAAGTTATTAGTCTTGAGAAGCACTTTTGTTAGCCTTGGGGCCTTTTTTAGATATGGCTGAGCAATAATAGCAGATGAACTACCACAGGAGGAAAAGGTTATCTAAGCTGATGAGAGTCTCCATGTACACTTAAAAAATGAGATGGTCTCTTTTGCCACGGTATACAATCCCTGATTTTTGACCCCAGTTGTTGTAGCCTATGAGCTATCCAGGACTGTGTTGACAAGAATGTTAAAAAATTGTAAAAGATCTCTAAGTAGGAAGGAGAGTTCAAGACAGAGATAGGTACTAGACACCAATGACATAGTCTCTATTGATTCAAATGGTAGAAGTTTAAAATCATTTTTATCACCTGTATATACAAACCCCACCCTCATTCCCCACCCATCCATTTACTTTCCTAAATCCAATGCATAGGAATGAGAGCTCGGCTCCAGATTGCAGTGATAGGGTTAAGATTTAAAAGTTCCTGCTCCCACACTATAATACCAGCATCTCCGTAGACCCTTGAAGTTCAGCATATTCTCACCATGCCTTTCCACTCTGCCACCCATGTTTACAGAATATAACAAATAAACACTCTGGGCTCACGGCTTTAAATTCTAGCTGCTCTGGTTCTCTCTCCATAGGACATTAATTCCTTGAGGTCAGGTTTAGCATAAACACAAGACTGAGGAGGCAAAGATCCATGGAGACTGGAGGACCTGCTTCTCCTTAGTCCTACCTGGTGATCAAAAATAAACTCTCTTAATTTATCTGAAATTCAACCTTCATCTGAAAAACGGGGATTAAGATATCTCCTTCTCAAACATAAAATAGGTACCAGTGATTTGAGGATGGTAACAGAGTGAACAACTAGCCATCTGTGAATTAGAAGGAAAAGAATGAATGCTATTGAGGTGTTGTAATAATTATTACAATAAAGTTATTTGGCAATGTCTGAAAAACAAAAGATATCTCCTTCACAATTTTATTTTTTATTTATTTTTAAATAGATTTTTATTGACTTTAGAGAGGAAGTGAGAGGGAGGGAGTAATAGAAACATCAATTGATTGGCTGACTCCTGCACACCCCCTACTAAGGATCAAGCCTGAAACCTGGGCATGTGCCCTGACTGGTAATCAAACCCATGACCTCTTGGTTCAAAGACCAATGCTCAACCACTGAGCCATGCCGGCTGGGCTCTTTCACATTTTTTAGATGAGATAACAAATGTGAAAACACTTGGTAAAATATGTGGTATACAGAAAGACATTAGGATTTTTTAAATAAGTCTTATGTAGCATTTAAGAGCACCAATGACTTTACCCGTGTAACGAAGTACTTCCGGGAGACATTAGCCCTGTGATAAGGATTGGGGTAGAGTGTTGATTCGGTGACACTTGGCTGCCTTGAAATCTGCTTTGGTACTGGGTCCTTGCCTGGGTCTCCCTCCTCCATGGAGAGTCGATCAGTCTCTGAGGGCTGGTCATCTCCCTCTTGTTTCAGAGACACGGGCTGGAATCCTTCAAAACTCCCAATCGTTGACATTTCTTTAGCTTAAAATAAAGGGAGAAACAATCTTGTCAATAAAAAAAACAAGTCACCTGGCTCTGGCAAAATAGGTACTTGAGCATATGATGCTCCTGAAACTGACAATTCCCCCTTCCCTACCTCCACCCACCCACACACATTAACTAAACAGAGGCATTGATGGATACAATTCAATAACTCAGACTTCACAATCCTGGAGAGCTATTCTCTGGACAGAGAAATGGAGGTTGTGCCCAGCTGGTGTGGCTCAGCAGTTGAACGTCAACCTATGAACCAGGAGGTCATGGTTCCATTCCCGGTCAGGGCATATGCGTGGGTTGTGGGCTTGATCCCCCCCCAGTGTGGGGTGTGCAGGAGGCAGCCAATCAATGATTCTCTCTCATCATTGATGTTTCTATCTCTCCCTCACGCTTCCTCTCTGATATCAATTTTTTTTTAAAGAAAGAAATGGAGGTTGCAAGTACTTTTGTTTTTCATCTTTAATCCCCCCATACAGGCAGCTGACTGAATAAGGGAAAAGTTGTGTGAAATAATTATCAAACATTTTTGTTCAAGATTTCATAACATTTTTACCAAACAATTCACCATCCTGCAAGCTTATTTAAGAGTTAAAAGCAATGATAATGCAACTTCTTTTGTGCTTTTTGGGTAACAATAAGGCACACAAGCACTTAAAACTGAGCACATTTTTCAGCTCAAACATTGCAATTCTAAAACTGTATCCTAAGAAAATAATTTAGACAAATGCTCAAAGACATAAATATATAAGGTTGTACATCACAATGTCTATTATGTCTAATAGCAGAAAAAAATACAACTGTAGGTCTAGCAGCAAAACATTGGATATAATAGCAACATCATATATTCACACAACATTTTATCTAATACCAAAAGAAACTAAGTATTATCAGTTGGAAATTTGCTAAATAAGATATGTTATAACATGCAGTGAAATATAATGTAGTCACTGAAAATGTAAGTGTATATTTTTATCATGGAAAGATGTTGAAAATATATTATAAATGTGAAAAGTAAGCTATAAAATATTAGGAATAATGTTATTCAAATTGGTAAAATAATTCAGAAAGAAAGAAAGAAAGAAAGAAAGGAAGAAAGAAAGAAAGGAAGGAAGGAAGAAAGAAAGAAAGAAAGAAAGAAAGAAAGAAAGAAAGAAAGAAAGAAAGAAAGGCAGAAAATAAGAATAAAAGAAAGAAAGAAAGAAAGAAAGAAAGGCAGAAAATAAGAATAAAAGCATACTTGGACTTATGTGTATGCATGTATGGTATGAGAGGGGCTGGAAAAAGCCTAAAAAGATGTAAAATTAAACATTAATAATGATTATCCCTGGATGATAGTGCTTTAAATAATTTTTATTTTTTGTTTTGAGAAGTTTCTAGGTGCTTAAAATGATTTTACAGGAATGGGCAAAAGCAGGTTTATAGTTGTTTATATGAAAAAAGGCAAATAATACAGGTAAATAATATAATAATGAGTAGATAAAAATACAAAAATAAACTGTAAACCTACTTTTGCCCATGTGATCTTCTATACTAATAAAAGCCTCGGTGGTCCTCGCGCCTTTGCACGACACCCTCACATTATCACAAGATGGCTGCCACAAGATGGCCACCTTCATGTCATCACAAGATGGCTGCCACAAGATGGCTGGCAGGGGAGGGCAGTTGGGGGCGAGATCAGGGTGGCAGAGGAGAGAAGCTGGGGGCAACCAGGCTGGCAGGAGAGGACAGTTGGCGGTGAGATCAGGCCAGCAGGGAGGCAGTTGGGGGTGACCCAGCCATCAGGGGGGGCAGTGAGGGGCACCAGGCTGGCAGAGGGGGGCAGTGAGGGGCACCAGTCTAGCATGGGGCACAGTTGGCACAACCAGGCCAGCAGGGGGGACCGTGAGGGGTGATCAAGCTGACAGGGGGGAAGTTGGGGGTGACTAGGCTGGCAGGGAGGGGGGCATTAGGGGCGACCAGAATGGCTGATGGGGGCAGTGAGGGGCAACCAGGCCAGCAGGGGGGAAGTTGGGGGCAATCAGGTCAGCAGTCAGAGGTGGTTAGGGGTGATCAGGCTGGCAGGGGGGCCAGTTAGGGGCAATCAGGCAGGCAGGCAGGTGAGTGCAATTAGGAGCCAGCGGTCCTGGATTGTGAAAGGGATGTCCTGGGGATTGGGCCTAAACCGGCAGTTGGACATCCCCCGAGGGGTCCCAGATTGGAGAGAGTGCAGGCTGGGCTGAGGGGACACCCCCTCCTCCGTGCATGAATTTCATGCACCGGGCCTCTGGTATATAAATAAAAACACAATAAATGTATTTCTATTTTGTAAATAAAAAAGCAACACAATGCAAAACAAAAGGCACATGCTAACCTAGTAATAAGTGCCCCTAAATAAGGTCTCCATTTGCAATCTGAGGCCACATAGTTATCAATATAGTAAGCACACTACCAGTGCCACATGGAAGGAGGGTCTCACACTCAGCTTCATCGTATAATCAGGAGTGCCATCTTATTCTCAGCGCTGCCACGTGTTCTTAATCAGACACACTTATTTTCCTCAGTTCTTGTGAAATATCAGAAAGTGAGAAACAGCCCCTATTACCAGCAACTTTACATTCTTAAAATAGGGATTAATTAGAGTATTCAAGAGAGGTAAAAATACTATGAACATATCATTTGTTGCCTAACCTGGACACTTTTGAAGGTGAAAGTGTGCTATTAACAATTATACCAGGATGATGGGAGTAGCTGGGATTGTCTCAGGCAAATGTGGACATAGACTCATCCTGAGAGGGTTTGAGTGTAGGAGAAAACACAGTTAGAACTCATGAATGAAAAGCCCTCTGCAGATCACATTACAGGTTATTTCACCTGATCCACCCAGCAAGCATTGGAGGATGATTTCATCTCCATGTGGAAAGCACAGAGTTGGATTATTTCAGAAACACTTGTAAAATTGTGGCAGCACTTGCACTCCCACCCAGGACTCTGAAACATGATTTGATTTCAGCATGCCCACCATGATACACACTATTTTACATCAGGAGGGGATTTGCTGGATTTTCAGGGGTTTTTTTTGAAAAGTGGGGTGTACAAAAGGCAGAGAGATTGGCTTTTGGGAAATACAAAACACACAGGAAGAAGCAGAAAAACATTTTGTGTGCCTGAGAGAGAGAGAGAAGACAGAAAATGAGAGATATCATGAGAGGAGGTGTCTGACTGAGTTTAGTGGTTTTCAGGTGGGGACCATTCCCTCCCTTTCCCATGTAACGGCCTCCCTGGCAGTTACAGGCTCTATTATGCGGGTCTGCCACCTGTCAGAGTAGGTGTTGGAAGGAAGTGCATGTCTAGAGTTCCCTGTAACCCGTGAAGGAAAGTTTGTGCCTTTGGGAAAGGAAAGCCTGCTTCTGTATTTGCTGCACTCTGTGAACAAGCTCCTAACAACAGACATCTGCTAAAGACTCCTGTGCCTGGAAAACAGAGGGAGGATTTAATTAGCACCACTTCCTCTCCCTCAGGCTGTCTTCTCTGGAAACACTTGAAGAGAAGCAGAGCACTTTGGAGACTGAGAAGTTTGAGATCCAGGAAAGAAGGAAACTGAGCTTTAGTTAAATTTGAGTAGCCATGACTAATGGGAAAGTTGAACCCAACCACCTCAATTCAAAATGATTCCAGCTCCCTTCCAGCCATGGGGACATCTTTGTAAGGACTTGTAATTTCTTCAACAACCTCCCCCATAGCAGAGGAGCAACATGCATCTAAGCAGCCCACTCCATTCTTCATCACCACCTGCCCAGATAGTGTTTATTCCCAATTCAATACAAACCCCTTCTACCGCTGTATAAATAGATCATATACATTCAAGTACTAAAAGCATATTAATACTGGTAACAAATCCAGCCAAATCCAAATGTTTCTATTGCTTTACGTGAATAATTACTAGTATGCCTTACAACAGACCCGTCGAGAGCCATTTACAATTGAAAATCATTGTTCCCTAAGATTGCCCAGTAAATTTACCTTAGCGAGTAGTGCTAAAGAGAGTACAATTTCTAACAGCAGCAAAGAGTCAAGGCTTAGGAAGATAATTATGTTCATACTTTTTTACCTTATTTTTTCATTCCAGGGAATTCATGTAATGAAAATTATTCTAAAAAAAGGAAGACTACAATATTACTTATTATGTGTTAATGAAACATTGAAGACCAGTTAATACCTAATGGCCAAAAAATTTCTAATTCTATCCAATCAATATTGTGTAAATACTTAAAATAATGTGAGTGGGATAATCCAAGATGGCAGCAGATTAGGTAGAAGCTACATTCATCTCCTTCCAGAACCAAACTGAAATTACAGCTAGATTATAGCACAATCATCCTGAATCACCAACTGAAGACCAGCTGAAGAGAATTCTTATAAGCAAGGATTTACAGAAGAAGCCAAATTGAGACTGTAGGAAGGGCAGAGACACAAAAAGGGCTGGACCCACTCCCATGGTGGCTGAGGTTCTGGGGGTATATTTTAGCTGCAGGGGAGTTCCCCCTGAGAATTGTGGGGTTTAAACCCCAAGCTGGGCTCCCCAGCCCAGAGCACCAGATCCAGGAAAAGTTTCCCATATACTGGTAACATCTGGTTGTGAAAAGCAACAAGGTTTTGGTCCATCAGGGAGAGATAGAAGTCTGCCAGAGATCCCTCTTAAAAGGCCAATGCACAAAATTTTGTTTGCAGCCACTCACCCTGGACTCTGGCAGAGGGAAGGTGGAGAGGACTAGAGTCCTGTGAAGAGTCTGGTGTTTGTGGCTCTGGGGAGGGAGCTTGGGGGACAGCTGCTAGGATCCCTGTGCTGAATCATTCTTCCATATAGCAGATGCCGTTTTTCCTGAGTGGAGCACTTCCCTCTGTGTGGTATTAGCCTAGGGCCATGGTCGGCAAACCGTGGCTCGAGAGCCACATGCTGCTCTTTGACCCCTTGAGTTTGGCTCTTCCACAAAATACCACATGTGGGC